CTCCTGGGGACAAACTTTGTCACTGTGGGAAGGAGCCAGAGTCCAGCAGTCTCCAAACTTCTCCTTGCCTGCAGCATGTTGTCATTCCTGATTATGCAACACACAGGGAGTCTGAGATGTCTCACCTCTCTGAACATTAAAGCCTTTGCAGGTTCTTGCAAACCCTTGCCAGTCGTGGCCCAGCCTTTTGGGGCTCTCTGCCTTGCCTGGGCCTGTTTGAGCTAATGGATTTCACTTCTTGTTTTTCCCATTGCCATCCTTCTTGTTCCCATCAGAGAACTGGGACTCTGGGGAAAGGGATGGCCCCAGTGTGCTGAGACTGGCACTTGTTCACCACAGTGCGTGAAATTAAACCTAAACTTTCCCATTCTGAGTGGGAAAGTGCCCCAAAGCCTGCAGGAGATTTCCCTACAGGTGAGTCCCCACCTGTCCCTCCCTCTGCTCCTTGAGCACAAGCACCAAGCAGGGCAGGGGTGAGAACAGCACAAACCCAGCCAAAACACAACTTTGTGCTCCCTGCACGTGTCTTCCTCACCATGACCTGAGCCAGGCATGTTTAATGCAGGAGCAGCAAGTGCTCTAAGAGTGGCAATTTCAGACGTCAGAAGGAAGAAAAGTACTGAAAAGGGACTATAAACAGATGAAAATGATGCCTTGTAAATGCAGAATTGAGGGCACCTACTTTGGGCTGTAGTGAGTCATACACAGGATTGTAGGAGAGCAGCAATCAGCCCCAAAGTATTTAATTTCTGAAGTGAAGGTAACTTTTGAAACCAGAATTTTTCTTTCCTCCCAGGCAATTATTAAACACTTCAATTTCACTGCAATACTTTTTTCAACACTTCTGCAAGATGACAGAAAGGCTCCAGTATCAAATTAATCATGATTTTTCAGAGAGAATGAAGTTACAAACATTTACTAGATTAAAATAAAATAAAGCCCACCTGATTTAGTTATGAGAACTATTTGGAAGAGCAATCAGGTTTAAGGCAAATGTCAACTTCAACAGAAAAGAAACCCCTGAGGATGAAAATGACTCAGAATGATGCAGAGAGTGCAAGTTTAGGAATGATCTTGTGCATGAAGGGAAAGTACATGACCTTCTCCTGGCTGACTGTCACGTAGGAATTAATAGGGACTATTGGCAAATTCATAAGAATAGGAAAAAAGGCCAACAGCACATGGGTGAGAGACATCAGGATATCTCATTGCTGCCTGGATTAACTGGGCATGAAACAGTACAAATGGTTGTGATGAATAAAGTGATTTTTAAAAAATATCAGAGTGCCTTTTTCTTTCAGCTTCACCATCTTTAGCAGATAGGGCTGGGTAGCTTGAGTGATTAGGGAAAGAGAGAGGAGGAGATTGTTGAATGAGTGTTAAAAGAAATGCACTTGCACCTGAAGTTAAATGCACATGCACCTGAGTTTTCTCCTAATAAACTTGAGGGCTGATGAGAAAAAGGTGTTTGAATTGTGGCTGAGTGGGCAGAAGTCAAATTGTGCCCTTATTTACACTTGGGCAGCTCCAGATTGGCTCTGAGCTGCCTTCACCCTTGTGCCCCACTCAATTCAGTAAGAACCTGGTAGGTTTGGGGTTGATTTCACTCAAATCACCCTTTCATTCATTCAGGCAGGGCAGGGTGTGGTGCTTGGAGCTGTGAGCTGCTCTGGAGTTCCATCATTTCATCATCATTTCCATCAAATCTCCACCACCTGCAGCAGGACCAGGGTGTTGTGTGTGCAGAGGTTCCCAAATCCTCTGAGCACCCAAATGCCACAGGAGCAGCCAGGGGTGACACTGGATTCCTGTGGCATGGAGCAGGTAGACATTGCCCTGAACTTCTCCTGGATTTGTCCCCTCTTGCTCTGAGGTACGTGGTGTGTGCTGAGGGGTCTTGGCTGGGTGGGAGCTGGGTTTGGCAGTGTTGGTGGAGCTGCAGTTTTGGTTTGGCAGTGCTGGTGGAGCTGCAGCTTTGGTTTTGGCTTTGGTCCTGGCTTTGGTCCTGTTTGCTTGTCTGGATTGTGGTGGAGGGCAAAGGCCTCACTGCCCTGCAGCCCAAAATCCCTGGGTTTGGTCTGGAAATTGTGGCACTGTGTAACTTTTATACAAAGCTGATTGTGAGTCAGACCAGGGCTTAGCTGGGTTTGCCTGCCCTGCTCTCACACCCTGAGATTGCAGGAGAGGGCAGGGAAAGCAGCAGTGCTCTGGGCTTTCCATTCTGACATAGTTTTGTTTGGTGCTTGGATGAATCCATGGAATATCTTGGCTAGAAACAATTCTGCTGATTGCAATGATTTGTGTGTGCTGGCATGTCCAGCAGGGCAGCTCCTGCTGTGGCTGTTCTGAGGGTGCTGCTCCTGGTTAGAGCTGTGCCAGAGGGGAGGAGGGTGGCCCTTGAGCTGGGTGAAAGGGACCTGAGAGCCAGGACTGTGTTTGGCCCTCTGGATCCAGAGCCTGGAGCTGACAGAACCCAACCAGCAGCAGTTTGTCTGCTGGGCTCTGTACCCTGGAGAAATCCCTGCTGCAATACTCCAAAGGTTTCCCTGCTGGGACTGCTGCATCTCAACTCTTCCATTTTTTTTGCTTCATAGAATTTCAACCCAGCACAGCCTGTCCTACCCCTGGGGCTCCGCCAGGACTGTGTCCACCTGGCACCATCCCCTGGAAACATTTCCAGCCTGCTCAGGGGCTGCTGTAGGTGCTGGTGGGTTCTGCTGTGGGACAACACCAGCTCCCATCTCAGTCCCTGCACACAGGCTGGAGGTGAGTTTACTCCTCCAGCAGGTTTTGAGATCCTCCCACACACGATGCTGTTCATGTGGCAAGTGTGGTGCTCTCTGCTTAGAGCCTGTGGCGCCTTCCCTAAACTGTTTTATCTCAAAGCTTTGCTCTGCTGTGAGATTTCCCTGGCAGAAACAGCTCCAGCCCTCCTGTCCCCTCTGCTCCTTCCTTCCCACCACCCTGGCACAGCCATTCCCCTTCCCAGAGCAGAGGATTCCCTGGGACTCTGTCCTGCTCTCTCCTCCCATCCTCCCAGCACAAACTGGACCTGGCACTGTGTTGTGGTGCTGGCTCCACTGGTACAGGGGAGTTTCCAGCTCCTTCCAGATGTGAAATGGCAAATTTAAATATTGCAATTACAAACGTGTAACGAAGCCTTGTACTTCATTAATGTAAGAGGAGGAATCTGCTACGGCTACAAGGACAATTAAATATTAGAGAATGTCTTTGATTCACATTCCTGCTGTGTAAATGGGAGGAAGGTTGCTGTATGCTCCTTGCCTTTGCGCTCACAAAATGAAAAGCACACCCACTGCAAGTTGTCCTTTGATAGATTTTTAATATGATTTTAAAGAGTTTTGTTTGGCCTCATTCTTATTCAATGAGATTAATTTAAAGCACTTATCCCCTGGGTTTAAGTCAATCCATGTAGGATTTGGGACGGGGGTTGTTGCCCGGGGAGGGGGTTGTTTGCAGGCCTCTCTGAAAGACTCCTTTCCCACTTCATTAACCCCGAGCTGGGAGCGACCCCCCTTCCTCCTCCTCCTCCTCCTCCTCCTCGCCCAGCCGAGGCGCGGGGATTTACCAAACTCCTCCATTCACATGCAAAGAGCCGGCCCCATCCCTCCACAAAGGCCGGGGGCTCTCGGCCCCAGCCGTGGCTGCGCATTTGGCCGAGCCGACAATCGCGGGGCTCGGGGCGAGCGGGGCAGAGCTCCCGGCACGGGGGCACCGGGCTGGGCCCGTGGGTGCCGGGGGGCCCCGCAGACAGCCGGGGGAGCGGCCGGGGCCGGCGGGACCCGCAGCCCATCTGTCGGCTCCCCGAGCCGGCCCGCGCTGCCCGGCTGTCCCGGGCACCAGCTGCCGGGCCCGCTGGCCGTGGCCAGATGAGCGACACTTTTAAAGGGTGGAAACAATCCATTTTCCAAAGCGATCATTTAAAGCACTTAGGCAATTATACACTTAAGATTAGCGTTATTAATTCGCCGCAGTCGCGGCTATCACCCGCTTCCCCGGCCGGTGCCGCATGCCGGCACTGGAGCCGGGCCCCGGGGGACACCGGGACCCTGGGGGACACCGGGACCCTGGGGGGACACCGAGCCCCGTGCGATGCGAGGTGGGAAAACTCCTCTTTGCTGTTTTCCCTTCCCGTCGGTGGCGGCCGTTCCGCCAGAGCAAACAAGCGGGAGGGGAATGGATGGGGCCGGCGGAGGCGGGAGCCGTTTGTTTGTTTGTAAAGAAGTTTTATTTCCACATTTAAAAAAGGGGGGAGCGGGAGCGGCCGCGGCGCCCCGAGCCCCCCCCGCGCCCCCCGCCCGGCCGGGCCGGCCCCGGGATACAGACTGACAAGAATCACTTACACAAATACGCCCTCAGGGTTCACAAATAAATAATTCATATACATTTTGCACCGTATTTACATTCCACCGCGCTTTTTTTTTTTTCTTTTTTCTTTTTTTTTTTTTTCTAAATTTTTTTAAGTTAAGTTTAAGTTACGGATGTCCCAAAGTCTCGTTGGGGCCATCGGCCCGGTCACCCCGCGCTCGTTCCCGGCGGGCTCGGGGGGCCGGAGAAGGCGGGGATGGCTCTCCCGTGGCGGGGGTGCCTCAGCTCCCCTGGCTGTTCCTGGGCAGAGGGCGCAGAGGCGAAGCCCCCCCGGAGCATCCGCCCCCCGCCCGTGCTCCCGGCGCCGTTCAGGCCGGGTTGGGGACACGCAGCGGCCCCGCTGCCCCTCGGGGGCACAAAGGGGGTAAAAGGCGGCGAGTGCCCCGCGGGGTGAGGGGCGGCTCCGTCCCGCCAAGCCTGTCCTTGATCCTTGTGTTCTTTATATATTATTTTAAAAAAGGAGGGGGTGGTCTCATTTATAATTTTATATATATATATATATATATATATTTGGGGATGAGCGGCAGTCTGTCTCAGTCTCTTGCTCGCGGCCCCAGAGCTGGGGGGTGTTCCCCTCCAGCCTCCCCCGGCCCCGTGGGGCTCTCCGGGGCTCACCGGGGCTGCGCGGCCCGGGGCAGGACGCCGGGCAGCGGGGGCAGGGGCGGCGGGGGCTCGCTGCCGCCCTGCAGTCCGTGGATGAGGATGCGGGGCACCAGGGGTCTCTGTAGGGCGGGGGGCGGCGCGCTGGGGCCGCGGTACAGGTACAGGGCGGCGCCGGGGTCCAGGTTGGAGACCAAACTCTGCGGGTAGAAGTAGGGCGAGGGGAACATCCTCTGCAGGGCTGAGTAGTTGCCAGCCTCAGCCAGCAGCTCCAGGCCCACCGCCGTCTGCCTTTTCCACTTGGTCCTGGGGGGGCAAGTCGAGAGAAGGGATCAAGGAGGGGAGGATGCTCCCAAAGCCGCTCCCGGGCTCTTTTTGCCCCTTGCACAGCCCCTTTCCCCGAGCTCTGCTCTCACTGAGCATCCCCGCTCCCACCGCTGGTTCCCAGGGCCGGCCCCTCCTGTAGGGCAGGATGGGATGGGACGGGATAGGATTTAACGGGATGGGATGCAGTCCCCGTTAATGGAGGGAGGGAGCTTATCTCCCTAGCACCCCCTCTGCAGCCCGGTGTGAGCTCCCACGGAGCTTCCCCGGACCCAGAGCCCGGCTGGGACCCAATGGCGGGATGTGAACCCCGGCGATAAAAACCGCGACATAAATTCAGTCCCTTCCTGGGCGTGTAAATCCCAGATTGTCACACGGCCCGAGGATGACACGGGGCATCCGTGAGCTGAGCGCGGATGCTGCGGTCACCGCGATGCTCCCCGCTCCGCCGCCCGGGGCTCCGGGAGCCGCTCCCCGGGCCGGGGCTGCCGGTGCCGGGTTCGGCTGCTCGGGAGTCCCGAAGGGGGACAGGAGTGGGGCCGGGTCCCGGGGAATTCGTTTGCGGCAAATATATCTATATATCTGTGTCTAAATACTCATATACATATATAGATGTGTGCGTGTGTATATATATATATATGAATGTATATATGATGTATGGAAGTGTATATTTTTATATGCGTATCTATTTATATACGCATATAAATGCCTATATGCCTATATCGGTATAGGCATGTATATATATATAAATATATATATAAATGTATATATATATAAATGTATATATACACATATATATACATACACACACACACACATATATATATATATTTTTTTTTTTCTTTTTAGTTTTTTTTTTAATGTGTGTGTGCCGGATCTCGTGGAGGATCCTGGCCCCAGGATCTCTCCGCCAAAGAGAAGGGCTGGGGAAGGGCTGGGAGCTCAGTTTTGTCTCTGCCGTGTCCTTGCAGGAGAGATTTGGGCAGAGGAGGGGCGATCCCAGCGTCCCCGCCGCCCCTAAACTTCCCCAAAAACCCCCGACGTGGGGGGATCTTTGCAGATGGAGAAATGGGACTGGAAACGATGGGGAGGGAGGATAAAACCCTGGAACGGGCGAGGGGACAGGGCGGGGGCTGCGGCCGGGGATCCCTCGTTTGGTGGCCGTGGCGATGTCGGGACAAACCCACCGAAGCCACCACGCCGCCAGCCCTTTTACAGATTTGTCGCTGAAGCGCTAAAACCTATTTCCACCAGTAAATTATTCATCATAATAATAATTGTGTAATTACTGTAAAGAGTGTTAATTATTGATGCCCAAAGCAGTAATTGGTATCTATTATTAATGGGCCGATGTGTTATGCTGTTGTGTTTCGCTGCAAGCCCGGTCCTGCCTCCCCGCCTTGCCGGGGCTGGGGGCACGGATTGCCCCTCCTGCCCCACACCCAGCATCGCTTTTCTCCCCTTTTCTCCCCTAAAAAGCCCCGGGAGAGGCGGGGACGGGCCGGACATCGCTCCTATCCCTATGCCGGGAGGGTTTTGGGGTGGAAAATCCCTGCGTGGTTTGGGGTGCGCGGCCGGGGAGGGGAACAGGGCAGGAGGGAACGGTGCATTTTTTACCTTCTGTTCTGGTACCACGTTTTCACCTGCGTGTCGGTGAGGTTGAGGGAGGCGGCCAGCTCCATCCTGTCCTGCACGCTCAGGTATTTTTGCCTCTCGAAGCTGCGCTCCAGCTGGGCCAGCTGATGGTCGGTGAAGGCGGTGCGGGCTTTGCGCGGCTTTTTCAGCCGCACCGGGGGGCTGTCCCGGGAACTGGAGATCTCTCGGTCCCCTTCTTCTTTCACTGAGCGCACAGGGAGGAAAAGAGGCCAGGTCAGGGCAGGAAGGGAATTACCCTCAGCAGAGGGGGTGACCCAGGGCAGGGCTCACGGCACATTTGCTTGGCACCCCGGTAAATTTGAACCCCGGCTGCCAGGGGGAACTCAGGGGCTCCCCGAGCCGGGCTCGGCTTCTCCCCGTCCCGAGGGTCTGGGATCGGAGCAGGAACCTTGGATTGTGCAGAGCGAACCTCCGGCCCAGATCCCCCTGATCCCCCTCATTTCTCTCGGGGCAGGACTTTCCTCGGGGCGTATTCCCCCAAACTGAAAAAGCTTTCTTGGTGTTTGGATATTTTTTATTTCCTTCTTTTTTTTATCTATCTCTCTCTCTCTCTCTCTCTTTTTTTTTTTTTCTTTTTTTGTTTTTTTTTTTTTTTGACCAAAACAAACAAACCAAAACCGAAAATTACAAGCCCACATTTGTTTTTGGAGGGGAATATTGCGGTGCTGCTCCTGCCTCTCCCCTCCGTGGAGAATCCTCCGTCCTCCCGGGGATGCTGCAGCAAACCTCCCTTCTCCAGGACGCACAACGAAATTCCGGGGAAAGCCCTTCGCAAACCCCTGTTTAACCCTGATTTTTATCTTTAAAAAGGGCCGAACTAGAGGGGCTGATGGCGGTTCGTTGCATACGCGCCGGCGGAGCGATGCGGGAATTTACGCCTCAAAATGTTGGAAGGTGATGGGAAAATTACGCAGCAGCAACAAAAATAAAAGGGGAAAAATAAATTCCTGCTCGCTCTCGCCTTCTCCTATCTCCTGGAGGAGATTATGGAGCAAATAGGCTCGATTTATACAAATCGCCGGCGTTTGGGTTTGTTGTTGTTTCTTTTTTTACAGGGGTTTATGTTAAATTTGCTGGTGGCGGGGCTGAGCAGGGACAAGGCTGGAGCCGAACGCGAGCTGATTTCTCTCTGTAGGAAGACAATAATCCGGTTAATTGAGCCACCGGGGAGCGAAACCCTTCAAGCAGAAATCCTGGCTCTGGCCGAGCAGGCGGAACGAGCCGGGGCTGATCCTTGGGAGGGGGATCCGGTCCCGGTTCCCGGGGACGCGGCAGCCCCGACCCACCGGAACCGGGCAGGGGATCGGCCCCGACCTCTCCCGGGAGCGGCCCCGAAGTTTGCGGGACTTTTTCCCGGGTAAAGCGGGTCTGGCCTCTGGCATCCCGAGGAGGAAAATCCTCCCGGCCCCTGGGCTGATCCTCGGCTCCTAAAAAGTTCCTGCTCGCCAAAAAGCCGCAGGAACGGCGGCGGCGATGGTTTCGCTGCTCGGTCCGAACCGAGCCCTGGCTACTCCTAGCTTAAAAAAAAAAAAAAAAAAAAATATATATATATATATACATATTAAAAAATATATATTTTAGGGTTTTCCGGCACTTTGGCCGCTGGCGGTTAGGCCGAGCCTCGCAGCCCCTTTGCGGAATAAATCCGGGGCGTTGTTTTGCCCCAGGAAAGGCGATTTCCAAAGCGGCACAAAAAGGATCGCTCTGGGAGCGGGGATCTTCACTCCTCCATCCATGCGCGGGTTTTACCTTCATTTAAACTGTGGTTTCCTCCCTATTTAAACTGGTTTGGGGTTTTTTTTCCCTCAGCTTAGACAGTATTTTTCCCCTTTCATTTAAGCAGTGGGATTTTTTTTGTGCCCCGTTTAAGCGGTGTTTCCCTCTCGATTTAAAGGATTTTTTCCCCTATTTAAACGGCATTTGCAGCGTGGCCGTGGCTGTCCCGCGGCAGGGACGGCAGAGGAGCCGAGGGGCTCCGGGAAACGGCGCCCACCCAAAACCGAACCCCCAGCCCGGGCTCGGCCGGCTCAGGGGATGCAGAGAATCCCTTTTTCTCCTCTTTCATCGCTTCTTTTCCGTCTTTGGGGCAGGGGAGAAGAGTTGCAGGAATTAGGGCCGGGTGTAGGAGGAGAGGACAAACAAAGTGGAAATCGCGGCATTGCCGGCCCTGCAGAGCGGTGGGGCCGATGTTTCCTCCCGGGGCACCTCCAGCCCCAGCACCGAGCCCGAACTCCATCCTTCGTTTGGAGCGAAAATCGCCCCGTGATGTCCAGAACCGGCCGCTGCCTTTGAGGCTTACTTGGGTGAATATTTTTCCTCCATGAACCAGATTTCAGCCCAGCGGCTCCGGGCAAGCCCAGGGTGCATTTGTAGCCGGGACGGGGCTCAGCCTGTCCCCCTTTATTTTCTGCCAATCCCCCCAAATTCAGCGGCCCCACGAGGTGCCATCACCTCCCTGTTGTCCGCCCAGCTGCCTGGATTCCCTCTCCCTTCCCTCGCAAAGTCAGCGAACAATTTTCCCGGAGAAAAGTTTCTGCGGAGCTGATGAGAGTGGGATGGGAGAAAGCACCGGGGATAAACCGCTCCGAGGGGCGAGCTCTGACCCCAAACCCCCCGAGCTGTTCCTGTGGCTCTCCCTGCCCCGACTGGCACAGGGGGAGGCCGGGCAGGGGCTGGGGGGTCCCGGGGTGCCGAAGCCCCCGGCCCGGGGCGAGCAGCGCCCGCATCCCGCCCCACGCCCCCACCGGTGCTGCGGATGCGGCCCGGGCTCCCCGTCTGCACTGCTCGGGTTTGAACGATTTCCAAAATAATAACCCAAATAACAACAACCGAATCAAACCCCGCCGAACGGCTTGTTCGTTTCTCACCGGAGCACGGCAAATCCGTCATTATTTTATTACTATTCTGTTTTGGTTTGTTTGTTTTGGTTTTTCTTTTTTTTTTTTTTTTTATTTTTTTTCCCCCCCGCAAGCAGAAATCCGGCTCCGCTGCTCCTTTCCCGGCGGGTGGAGCGGCACAGCCGGATCTCTGCAGTGGAAGGCGGCCCCGGAGCATCCCCCGCGCTCGTTCCATGAAGCGCCGATTGCCCCAACCCCTTCCACCGGGCCGAGCCCCACCGAACCCCCAAGTTTCCCCAATTTCCTCGGTCATTTCGGGCACCACCGACACCGTGACCTGCCCTGAGCGGGGCTGGGATCCCAGAGCTCCGAGAGGCTGCGGGTTCGCACAGCCCAGCGGGCTGAGCCGCTCTTACCTTTGTACTCCGAGTCCGAGGAGGAGCTGCTGGTGTTTTTTTCCATTTTCTCCCTAAAATCCTCGCCGGGCTTGGTGGGGATCCTGCCCGCCGGCTCCTGCCCGCCGTGAGGTCCATTGGTGCTGGAGTAAGGCGCGCAGGCTGCCAGCGGCTTGCAGTCGGCCAGGATGTCTCTGATGAGGAAGGAGGAGGTGACGGTGCGGGACTGCGAGGGAGCCGAGCCCTGCCCCGGCTGGAGATGCGCATCCAGGCCCGGCCGCGGCGCCGCCGCCGCCTCCAGGCACTCGCGGCCCGGCGAGCGGGGCGAGGGGCACCCGCTGCTGCCCTCCGAGCGGGGGCTCAGCTCCAGCGGGGACCGCCCGTCCGCCACCAGCGGGTCCCCCTTGGGCACGGCCGGGCTGCCGGCTCGGTGCGAGAGGATGGAGTCGATCCCAAAGCCGGTGGAGCCCTCCATGGCCCCCGCGAGGTGCCGGCGCTCACACGGGCATTGGCGGGGAGGGCGCGGCGGAAGCGGGTTGGTAATGGTAATTAACGATAAAAACAAAACAAAACAAAACAAAAGAAAAAAAATAATAAAAACAAGGTAAAAAGAAAAAAAAAAAAAGAGCAAAGTTCAGTCTGGGATCCGGACAGCAATTGCTGCAAGGCTCTCCGAGGCGCCGCGCGTTAGATCCAGGGCTGCTCCGTCTTCAGCATCGCGCCCAGCTGCACTCACAGACAGACAGGAGAGGGGGGGAGAGGGAGGCAGAGTCAAACTTTGGCCGCCAAGGGGGTGGGGTGAGGGGGGACGGACCCCAAGCTCACCCGGGCTCCCGGCCACCCCACCTGTGCCCGGAGCCGCGGCGCGGGGCTGGGGGGCAGCCCGGGGGCTCCCAGCCGGAGCTGGGCAGGCAGCGATCGATAGTGAAGGCTTCGCAGCGCCTTAACCACTTAATGATCCAGAAATCAATGGGGAAGGGCGAGGGGAGGGCGGAGGGGGTGGCCAGTCGCCGGGCGGCCGCGGCGCCCCCCTTTTCCCTGCCAGCACCTCGGACAGCGCCGGGGGGAAGCGGAGTCACTCCGGAGCCCGCAGCACCTCGGACAGCGCCGGAGCCGCTCCGGTGCTTTCAGCACCTCGGACAGCGGCGGCAGCGCCGCGCCCTCCCCGGGGGCGAACGGGGAAAATGGGGAGAAAAAGGCGAATTTGGGCCGCTCCGGCTGGGGGACCCCGGCACCCCCCACCCCGCCCGTGTGAAGGCGCCCATTGGCCGCCAGGCGATTTGGGGGATGTCACTCCCCACCAGGCGACACCTCGGAGCTTGATTAACGGGAATTAATTGTGGCCCGCATCCCCGCGCTTTCCGGGCGGTTTCCGCCCTCTTTTGCTGTCATTATCCCGCTGATGGGGCTCTTAATGGGATGATTAGCCGCGGAGGGAGGGGGGGGGTGTGGGTTGGGTGGGTTTGCGAGGGGTTACTGCTTTCTGCGCGCTTCCCCCCGCAATTAGCTGATCTGATCGGTCCCTCCCGAGCAGGGAAAGTTTTGGTGGGCGTTAAAATTAAAAACAAAAAATTTAGGGAAAAAGAATATAAAGAAAAAATAAAAAAGGGAAAGAAAAAGCTCCGAAACCTCCCAAAACCCCCAGCATTGAGGCGGCTGCTCTGAGCCCGAGATGAGCCTCGGAGCTGCGAATTTCGTTGCACGCACAACCGATTTGTTTGTGGCCGAGCACAGAGGTCCAAGGGGCAGCCGGGCAGCCCGGAGCGAGGAGCGGTCATCGCCCTCCCCACTCTGCCCGTGCCCAGGGCGGTACCTGCTGCTGCAACCGGGCAGGGACCGCGCTCAGAGCGGGTTATTTCTGCCGTCAATCGCATTTTAAATAAAACACCGATGGCCTCAGGCAGGGCTGCCCCGTTCTGCCCCATTCTGCCGGAGACACCAACTTTCCTCCCTCCCGCCCCGTCGGGGTTTGCTGCTGTTGCTCTCCCAGGCTGCAGAGGGACAGGCTCCCGCAGGATCCCCACCTTCCTCGCGGTCAGCCTGGCTGCTGCCTCCTCCAGGGTTTATTTAGGGGTTTTTCCCGTGGATGGAGCCTTCACCGCGGAGATGGGAAAATGTCCACACCCGGGCGCGCGGAGCTGCGTCACTTTAAAGCGATGTCGCTGGCTGTTTCTCAAACACCCGATTTCTTCTGTTGCCCACCTTCCCGGCCAGTCAGCTGCATCTTGTCCCTCTTCCAAAGCCGCCCTTGGCCGGCAGCTTGGAGGCGACCAAGGAGGGGGAGCCCCCTGGGGCAGCCCGGCTGCCAGCTGTCGGCAGCGGCGCTCGCAGGGCCCCCGCTCCTCCTGCCCTCAGCTCGGGGCCGCCAGATCGGGGCACAGGAACAAAAGAACTTTAGAGGAGGACAAGGCCAGGAACGAAATCGGCATCATCAGCCCCGGTCCCAGCCTGCCCCCACCCCGTGCTCAGCCTCCCTGCCCTTGTGAGGGGTTCCTGCTGCTGCTGCTGCTGTGCACCGTGTCCCTCCAGCACAGAGAGCCAGGACTGGGCCAGGTCACTTTTGCAGTGTCCCCCATCCACGAGGCTGGGCCAGGTGTCCCTTTGGACTGGAGCAGAGTGATGGGTGTGCTGGAAGTGGTTCTGGTGAGACCCCGATGGGGTTTGGAGATCCTGGCAGTGTTTGTGTTGGTCCCTGGGCTCTGGCAGCCTACCTGTTCAACCAGGAGTTCACATTTGGGGTGGAAATTTGCACTGGGATGGAACCAGCACTGAGGTTTTATTTGGGACCAGGAATGGGACTGGGAAAGGCAGCAGGGCTGGGAGTGGGATTAGGATCAGGATTTGGATCAGCCATGCAGGGACAGGTTTGGGTTGGTGAGGATTGCTCTTGAATAAAGCACCTGCTTTCAAATAACCACAAGGACGCCCCCAGATGAGACCAAATTCCTGATATGTGCAAGATTTGGGGGGTATTTGACTGAACCTCCCAGAGCAGGTTCTGTATAGTGCCATGCCCAGCCCTAGGGACAGATATGTCATTCCTAGGCCACACTTGGGGCTCCCAGCAGCTACAGATGCACTGCTACTCATGTCCTAATGACACTAAAATTATTATTGCTATTATTACTATTCATGCTATTGTTTTATTAAGTTGTTTCAGAGCTGGACTCCCCAAGGCAGAAATGTGCCCCATTCTGCCCATATGTGGTGTCCCTCCCACATCACCAGACCCTGGACAGGTGAGGTTCCAAGGATTTTTCTGTGGCTCCCAGCACAGACAGGGAATCCTGCACACAGACCATGGAGCAGTGCACACTCCTTCCCTCTGTGTGCTGCCCTCAAACCCCGATTTCCAGACCGTTCCTGTTCACAAACACTCAGCCAAGAGCAGACCCCTGATGCCAGCTGCATTCACAGCCACCTCCTCACAAGCCTCAGCCACAGTCCAGGGCTGGATTTAGGGCTGTGGCAGCTTTGGGAGCTGCCGTCAATCCCACCCTGCTGGGCGCTGCTGGGCTCTCCTGGTTCCTGTCAGCGGTGCAGGTTTGTCCCTGGGGCCAAGGCGCAGGGCTGACCCAGGGAAGGTGTTCCCTTCCCTGCAGAGCTCTGACGGTGACTAACAAGGGTTTATCCAGAGATATCTGCACAGCCCGGTGTCCTGGAAGGCTGCGGCAGAGGGAGGAACCCTCCGGGAGGTTGGCTGGGTGCTGGGTGAGGCCATGCCCAGCTGGCACAGCGAGGGATGCTCGGGTGACCCAACGAGAGCGGGAGGGACGGGAGGGCTCGGTGGGGCACGGGGGGCACGGGCAGGCGGGAGCAGCCGCCGCAGCGGCGGAGGGAGCCCCGTTACCGGTGGGTGTCACTGCAGGACAAGGAGCGGGGCCGGGATCGCTGCTCGCGGCTCGGACGGGGCAGGATCAGGCGGGGGGTGCCAGGGCAGGGGTGCCCTGTGCTGCCCATCCGAGCTGGGATACCAGGGGTATTTAGGGCACGACCTTGCCCAGCGTTTCGTTGTCAGATCTGTCGGCTCTGAGCTGCACTGAGAGGTGTTTTCTGAACACACTTTATTTGTCGGATGGTTTTCAGGTTTCTGCTCTCTTTGCTGATTCCTGTCCCGACCAGCAGCTCTGCAGGGCTTTGATTTGGTTCACACCGCTCTGTGCCAGCCCTCCCCAGCCCGGCAGGACCCACTGGAGGTGTCTCCTTCCCTGAGCACACCCCAGGGATGCTGAGAGCTGGATGTGGCTCCCAGCAGGCAGAAGGACAAACCTCGTGCCTGGGTTTCTCATAAACAGTGTCATTTTTAGCAAGACAAGTCATTTAAGGCCCAGCTCCCTCCCTCCCTGGGGAGGTGGGAAAGGCCTTTGGTTATAATCCACTCTGCCAGCTTGGCAAGCCCTGCTGTTATCCCCCTCGTTATTTTAGATGGGTTTTATTTAGAGGCCTGTACTAAAAAGAAACAACCACATAGCAGGGTTTTCCTGGTGTGGAGCAGGTGATTTTGTTCCTCCCTCAGCTCAGGTGTGGGCAGGGTGGGGTTTGTTACAGCTCCTGCCTTATAAAAGGGCAGGTTGAGGTCCAAGCTGGAAAAGCTGGAGCAGCTCCTGGAGTGCCTTTGTTGTCCTGAGAGGTAAAAAAAAAGCAAACTGCCCTTGTAATTTACTTGTTCTTTCTTCTTGAGCAATGCAAGAGCTCTTCTCTTTGAGGTTTGGGGTTAAAGGTTTGGTTGGAAATCTGAGGGCCAATGGGCCCTGAGCTCAGCGTGGGTTTTTCCTGTCTTTTGGCTGCTGGTGGCTTTATGTAGGACTGGGATAATCCCAGTGCCAGGGTTTGGGGAGCAAAATCATGCTGGCACATCTACCTGAGCTCAGGATGCATTTGGGGCTGGCCAGCACAGCAGATGTCACCTCCCAGAGCTCTGGGGTGAACACTCCTGAGCTCCCCAATGCCAATGGGAGAGAGAATATAAAAAGTGGGAGATAATTTGGCTTAAAAAGCTGGTAAGCTCTGAGCTGTAATGGTAGATGTGAGAAGCAGACTCTGTATGGAGATCCACATTTAAATGATGGCACTTTTAATGAGATGGATTCCAAATGTGCTGGCTCCTGACTCAGTGGGTTTGGGTGCTGTGATGCTGAGTTGGTGCTGGTACAGTTTGGGTTTGTTCAGTGAGGGCTTGGAGAGGCTCAGCCCTGGGGGCTCCAGCAGCTGCTGGGGATGAGTGTGGAGCTGCCTGGAGCCACCTTAAAGCAGAGCCTTGCCTGGTGAGGCCCAGTTTGGCAGAGCACTCAAAGCAGGTGTTTGAATTCCTCCACACAGGCAATGGCTTTGCTGAATCAGGCACTGATGGGAAGCGTTTTTGGCAAAGAAACGAGGCCTGATGAGACATTACAGATTTGGTATCAGCTAGGATATGGCTGCATCCAATCTATTTGTCCAGAGGCAGCAGGGAAGGAGCCTGTCCTGCCTCCCTGT